GCTCATCCAGGTTTTTATGTCCTTCAGACATGCTTGTAAGTTAGATAATTCCATGATTAATTCCATCAGGCTTGATTGATATATATAACTGGGCATCATCTGCATAACAATGAAAGTTAATGGCGTGATTCCTAATAATGTTGCCCAAGTGAAGCATATATAAGGTGAATAGAAATGGTCCAAGCAAAACTAAACTAAAAAGCTAAACTCCATGACTAACTGTAGTATTTATGGAGGATTTATCGTTAACATGTACAAACTGAGAACGATCTGATAAGTATGACCTAAACCAGTTTAGTGCGGTTCCTTTAATGCCAATTAGATACTCAAGTCTCTGTAATAGAATATGCTGGTCAATGATTTCAAATGCAGCACTAAGATCTAACAATACAAGTACAGAGACAGAGTTCATTGTCTCATTGTGAAGCAATTAAAAGGTTGTTACTAACTTTAAGCAGTGCTGTCTCTGTGCTGAAAATCCTCAAATAAATTATTGTTATGTTGAAAAAGTACACCAACTGTTTTTGGCGACTACTTTCCCAGAATCTTAGGGAGGATGGAAAAGGGAGGTTGAAATCGGTCTTATGTTGGCTAAAACCCCTGGGTCAAGAGTGGGCTTTTTAAAAAGGGGTTTAATTACATAAACTTTAAAGGACTGTGGTACATATCCTGACAATAAAGAAAGATTAATCATATCCAATAAATAAGTGCCAACAAAGGATAAGGTTTTCTTTAAGCAGCCTAGTTGGGATGGGGTCTAAGAGATAGGTTGATGGCTTCGATGAAGAAATTCTGCCTAATATCTTAATACATTCACCTTTCTGTTTTCCAGATCAAGCTTCCCGTTCCCACAATGCTTCCATCAGAATCCTTGTTGAGGACAGACTCACTATCCAGCACTGAGCCAGTTCTGTCTGATGGATCAGTGGGGTCAGCACCATCTCTGGGCCTGAGTCCTGGACCCAGCACCACCATGGACATGAGCAGAAGTGAGCTGAACCAGACTCAAGACAAGATGTTGAAGCATCAGCAGAAATCTGAAGAGGTAAAGAGCACACACAAGAAGCTTCACAAAAAAATGCAGAGTGTTCTCATCTCCTCTATCAAATTATACACAGCAGCTTGAGGGGGAGTGGCCACTCCATTGGAGGAAAGGCAAAGTGATCTGATATCTTGCAAAGAGATTAAGTGTTGTTTGAGCATTAATCAAAGGTAAAATATCTGAACAGTGGATTTATTTATTCAAATTCAATTCAATTTGGAAACAAGATTTTTTGGGAGAGCGGAACCTGCCACCCGATATTAACCTAGATATTCTTCCTTCCTTGTTTTTATTTGTTTTGATTCATCTTCCTCAAAACATAAGTATGAAAGAAGAAGAAGTACCAATTTGACAGGACATTAATTGATTTGATTGTTTTTATTCTTATTGTCTTTGATGTCATGTTTCTCTCTCTTCATGAAAACTCTGAAAATTCCAAAGAATGTAAAGGAAAAAAATATAAGCAGATAGACTATATGATTGAATGAAAATGTCAATTTAAAATAAGGGATACCCATGTAGTGTTTTGCAGGCTGTGTTTGTTAAGACTGTCACTTGTGTGGAAGAAGGAGTTGTAAATATGACTGCAGAAGACCTGTGCATGACAGCTTCAACTTATTTTATATCAGTGTGAAATGAAAGCTAGTTACCTCAGCAGACAACATTTTGACCGTGAAGGGAAACCAAATCAAGTCAAACTGATGTACAGTTCATTCAGTAAGTATTTGAACACATATTGCACATTGGGTTTTACATTAACCAGGGGCTGAGGTTAAAGTGCTGACTCCGCTTTAAGGATGTTAGATGGTGTTCACATCTGTAGGACTTAGCCCTTTTACAAAACCATGGCCCTTATTATAGTGCAGCCAAAGCAACCAGGGAGTTATTTGAGGGCCAAACATTGAAATGTTTCAGCGGAGTGTGCATTTAGAACCAGTCACTCCCCAATTTACAGTGTGAAAGGCAGGCAAGAAAATGATAGGACAACAACAGATATTAACAATAATTAATAACACAGACAACAATCAATATTTTCTGCTCTCTGTACCTCCTTTAGATTACATTATTTGCACATTGTTCCTCTTAAATATAATCTAGATTAGGGATAGGCAACTTGCGGCTCTGGAGCCACATGCAGCGCTCCAGAGGCTTCCTGTGGTTTTGATAAAAAATCATATGGAAATGAGTAACTGTTACTTTTTTTATACTTTCATTTTCATTTATCATTGTTGCAGGCCTAAATTAAATTCTCCACTTGTAAATACGTGAAGCCATTAATCACTGAAAAAGCTAAAAACTAGTCTTGAAAGTGGAGAATTAGTAAGGTATATATACACATATGTAAAGGTTGCTGACCCCTGATCTAGATAGATAAATGTGTTTCTGATTTCATGCAACCCCAACCATGAAATTTTCAGGATTACTGGCATCTGTAAACACCTTGAAAGGGATGACATGTAAAGAAAAGCAACAGTCTCTCTGAAGAGTTTGACCTAACCTTTGCTAAATGGATGTTTGAAAGCAGTTTTCTCTGATTTTAACACAGATGACATGGAAGAAGGAAATTGATGATCCACTGAATCCTGAAGACTGGGCTACTATGCAGAAACTCTCCAGTTCAGTAAGTTGCTTCACACCCTCTACAAAAATGAGCAAAGCCAGGAGCTTCATATATAATTCATACCTCATCCATTCTAACTCAAGCCTCTGGTAGAGAGAGCAACACATTCTTTACCTCCTTCACTCTTTCACTTCACTCTTTGTGCCAATACTTGTGTAAAAAGGTATAATTTTGCCCTGGTATTTGTTAAAACTAAAGGTAGGAAATAATTCGGTGCTGTAGAATCCAGTGGAACAAAACACAATATTTAAATTTACTGTCGTGTTTTCATGAATTGAGGTTTGGAGAGAAGCAGGTTATAGTTGACTGACAGCCAGCTCTTTCTGACTGACAAAAGAGAGAGGAGAGAGATGGCTGTTACCAGGGCAGCTGTTGCCACGGTTACTATATTTTTCAGTGCAGGAACCTTGCTGCCACCTGCTGTCTGTTAAGCTTCATTACCTATAGCCTGGTTTTCAGGACCTACATTAATTGAACTATTCTTACTCACGAATTTAAGGTTAGAGATGCTCTTAAATTGAAGAGAGCTCCGGAAGTTAAGTTGAGTTGAAGTGAGCACACTGCATTGTTGGAATGACTGTATAATATAGCATTAAATGAAGGCTAAATCCTCAGTGGTACAAACAAGAATAAAGCTGTCACTGTTGTTTTTTCCAATCACTTTCCACATTTATTATCGGCAATTGTCGGTGTGGTATTAATTTGTCCTTAATGATTTCAATATTTTACCCCTATTTAAATCTGTGACTATTTTGATAGATTAATCATAAACAATTTTTTTTAATTTTATTTATTTTTTAAGCAAGAATGACTTACTGACGTTTGATGATATCATGTTGGAATTTTCACAGTTTACTTTTTTTTTCAACTGATAAGTCAATTAAAGGACCAGTATGTAGGATTCAATGGCATCTAGCAGTGAAGTTGCAGATTGCAATCATTTGAATACAGCTCAGAATTCCAATTGTATAGGCAAAACTACGGTGGCAATGAAACTGACCAAAATGCTAAAAGTTAAATGTGTAGAATCATGATGGTAAATGGTAAATGGTAAA